TTTTGTTTATGTGATACTATTAAATATTTATTATTTATTATATAAAATTTAATATTTTAGTCAAATAACAGCAATATACGAATAGTAACAAAAAAGAAACACTCTTCTAATTTTAGAAAATGAATGTAATAAATAATCATGTCATAGTATAATAAATAAGTAATAAATTGAATGTTTATTATTAAGTTCATTCACCTGTTACATTAGTGATTATTTAATAAAGCGATTAATCGTGTAATTTTATCGATTTCTCGAATCGATTGTTCTAAACTTTAATAAAAATGGCTACTTTGAAGCACGCATGTCAAGTGGGTTATTGGTGTTGATAAACAAAGAATTTTAATAAAACGGTTGCTAAAAAGTTATTTATTAATCGTCGGCATTATCTGTCGACGTCTTATCAATATAAAATTTCAAAATATTTCGGAACGGTGATAAAAAATTGGCAATTACGGCGGAGTGTCAAAACAAGAGTGACAACGTCGAACGTGACGTTGAGGTTATGGACAACTTTGTCAAGATTGAAAAAATAGGGGAAGGGACTTATGGGGTGGTTTATAAAGCCAAAGATAAGTTAACTGGAAAGCTGGTGGCGCTTAAAAAGATTCGTCTTGAGACGTACGTCGATTGTAATATTTATATATAAAAATCTGGAATCTTTACATTAATGTATATCTATGCCGGGTGATGTATCGTTTACAAGCATATTACATTAACCGCAAAATGAATATATTTTTAATAACAATTTAAAACTACTAGTATTTGAACAAGATGATTTTAATGTATTTAGAAATTTATTAAATATTCCGTAGAGTCTACGTTTTTAACATAAATATTGCTACTGATATTATTTTTTCTTTACACCAGTATATAATAATCAGTATACAATTAATAGATTTTCATAGCTTCTAATTTTCATACATATAACAAAACAACTTTAATCAGTTTTCAAATTATATTTTATTGATGAAACAATCAATGATACTATTTGTAAATATGTTTAATAAATGTACATATTATATTTAATGGGAACAATTATTTTCACTACTAACATATAAATTTTTTATCTCATAATGAAAAAGTAGTACTATATTTTGCTTTTTCAGTATTATGAATAATAAATAATTTATATATATTCAAATGATCTACTACTATAATTTAGGTAATATCATATCAAATAACCTAAAAATTGTTATTAAATTGAAGTCACATGTTTCTAAAAATTAAGATATAATATTTTTGTAGACTTGTAAACTAATAGTTTGTTTACCCTGCAGACATCTAAGTAATTTGCACGTTGTTAAGGTTAGAGAGTTAGTGTTATGTAATCATTGTTATTTAACCATATAAATAATTTTTGAAGATAGTGAATTAAAATACCATATTGGTTGAGCTTTTGCTTATATGCATTGCTAACACATCTGCTAACTTACGCATTGGGGTCAGCTGAATCTGCAGGGGCCACGTTACACTAAATTTTCGTAGCACCACATTATTCAGCTTGTCCCATTGTGTCATGCTCAGCTGGTTTTTGATTTTAAATCTTTTAATTAATTCACCGTGTACTTAAGTGGGGTTTTTTTCCTATGTATTTGTTTTTTAATAATATCTACTTTTACCAAATTTATCATTTTATACTAATTACACAATTCAAAAAATGCACCTATTGTTTAGATTTGTTAAAACTAACTGATATACTTTTATTAATTGCTTTATGTATAAATAAACATATTTGTTATAATCCTTCAAAGGAAAGGGATAATTAAGTGTTATAATTTATCATTAATTATTAATATATATAATTAATAAAGTAATGTTAATTTACATCAGGGAAAGTGAGGGTGTTCCATCCACTGCTATTCGGGAAATATCATTATTAAAAGAACTTACACATCCAAATATTGTTCAGTTATTTGATGTGGTAGATGGTGACAACCATCTTTATCTTGTTTTTGAATTCTTACAACAAGATTTAAAAAAATTATTAGATTCTGTTAAAGGAGGATTAGATCAAGCTCTTGTTAAGGTATTGCCCTAAAAAAAATCAAAGTTGAAAATAGATGCATGCATTGTTCAAAGACAAGTCTCTTATGTTTACAGAGCTATTTGTATCAATTATTGAAAGCAATTTCCTTCTGCCATCTTCATTGCATTTTACACAGAGATCTAAAACCACAGAATCTGTTAATAGATCGGGAAGGCCACATAAAATTAGCAGATTTTGGATTAGCCAGAACATTTGGTGTTCCTGTCCGAACATATACTCATGAAATAGTAACCCTTTGGTACCGAGCACCAGAAATACTTTTAGGAACTAAATTGTATTCCAATGCTGTAGATGTTTGGAGTCTAGGTTGTATATTTGCAGAGATGGTAATGATAATTTTAATATCAATATAATAATTCTGTATAAAATATAGATATTAAAATGTTATTTACATAATTATAGTTTTAATTTTTCAAAAGAGTTACATTACTTTTGCAGGCAACTAGGAGAGCTTTGTTCCCAGGTGATTCGGAAATAGATCAGCTCTTCAGGATATTCCGCACATTAGGTACACCTGATGAGACTATTTGGCCAGGAGTGTCACAGCTACGTGATTATACATCAATGTTTCCAAGGTGGGAACCTCGATCTTTAGATGAAGTTGTACCTTCCTTTGATTCTGATGCCAAAGATTTGCTTTTGGTAAGATACTTTAATAGAAAGTGAAAGTCAATATTCATTTTTTTTTTTTTTGTATGTTATTTTTAATATCATGTTTTAATAGAAACTCTTGACTTATGATCCTAACCAGAGGATAACAGCAAAGAAAGGTTTAAGCCATCCTTATTTTACTGGAGTTACTTTAGTTCCACCACCACTGCCAAAGAAAACTTGATTTAGATATATTATTTTTTAATGTACTGTGTATTTTGTAATTCTTCATTACAATATAAAACTGCCAATAATATAATTGTTAAAATCAAATATTTTTGAAATCTCACATTAAAATGTACTTTTAATTTTGACATACTGAGTGTGTTTATATAACAAAGATATATTTTGCTATGTACATTAAAAATCACATATACATATTTTTATTGTGTATGTTATTTTAAAAATTCTAATATTTTTAATTGCTACAGTTTTTCATTGATAATAATTCGTGTCTTAATTTCTGATAATACATAAATAATATATGTAACTAAGTTTTTTTCATATTATAATTAGCAAAAGTCTATTTTGTGATGTTGCATACTTAAATATTATTTTGATACCATATTTTCACTAGAAGTTATTTCATATATAATTGTTATATGTATAATATATAAACATAATTAAAAATATAACGATCATAATTTTAAATTCATTATATAAAGTATTTTTGTAAATATTTTATAAATGATGAAATGGTAATGAATTAAAAATTAAATCAAATGTTTTGGACAGAAATGATTTGACATCACATAATTAATAACGTGTATTTTTAATTAATATATTCTAATAAAAGATTATAGAAATTAAATTAAACAATAAAATGGTTATTATTGGAAAGAAGCAGACTTGCAATAATCTCTTAGAATAATTTATATTATGATTACTTAATAATCTGTTACATTCAATAATGTAATATAAAATTATTAGTTAGAAAGCACGTATTTATTTGCTCAATATTTTATTTATATTGATAAGTTTACTAGGTTTAGTATATTGTAATTATTCACAGTTCAAGAAAATTTGTGTTTTCAAGATTTCATTAGTTATTAAATATATTTTGAAATAACATGAAAAACTGATTTAATGTGTTACACGTTCGATTAATTTTGGTAAACTAATTTTAGTATTAATTTCTGAAACTGTAGCAGTTTCCTGTGAAGTTGGAGAAGGTGCCAATTTTGGAAGCCGTAATTCTTTTGGTGATGTTTTTCCCGACATATGGGATTTGTCTGGACTCCTTAATCGGAAACTGTTAGGGGAATGCGGAGAATTTGGTGATTTCATTGTTTTATCTTCTGGTGTTTTTAATGGAGAACTGTTAGGAGGCCGTGGAGAAGTAGGTGATTTCGCTATTTTCTCCTCTGGACTCTTTAATCGTGCACTATTAGAAGAACGTGGAGAAGGTGATTTTACTGTTCTATTTTCTGAACTTTTTGATTGAAGATTATTAGGAGAATGTAAAGGTGTCGGGGATTTCACCGTTCTGCTCTTTGTTACATTTTTGTCCTCTGGATTTAGATTCTTCTTGTTTCCATCTTCTACCTCTATAGTTTCGAAAGTCGACGAACTTTTTTTGGATCCTGTTTCGGGCGATTTAGCCAAACTACTTCTAACTGCTTTAGGGGTTACCATTGAGGATGGTGATGGTAAGTTTTGTGCTTTTGTTGGTGTACTTGGTGGGGGTTGTGGCAAATCATCTTTTGGTTGTTCATTGGAAGAATTTATCTCTTCAGCTAGATTATCCTGAAAAATATAGATTAATATACAGATTTAAATAGTATTTTTAATAATATGCTAAAAAATAGTATTTTTTATAAAATAAATTGAATTTACCAATTCTGCTAATTTTTTTTTTTTATTTATTATATATGCTGAAAAATTACATCAATTAAACAAAAGTTATATTATCAATTTTTCTCTTTTATATTAAATTTTAGAAAGCAAACGAATCTATAAATAAACATAAGTTTTTAAATTATTTCATTCGAAAATAACGAACTTTTATAAAAAATATTATTGGGAAGTAATACTTGAATAAATAACGTATACCACGAAATTCGTATAACTTATTATTAGTGTTACTTGTGTGCAGACTGACCTTAATTTAAAAATGCGGTGATTAGCAGCGATGCTTCTGTGTCCACCAAGTATTACATGTGAAGGTGAAGTACACGCTGTGCTTATTAATCCAGATAAGAAAATTCATTGAAGAAACTTACTAAATATCTAATACTTGAGGAAGAGAAGTCAAAATTCGTCTCTACTTCAAATTTTAGCATTAGCGCTCGTAACTAAATTCGCCATTACAAATTTTTGTGCTCTTACATTACGCTTATGTGCTATAAATCACTACTGATTATTTGAAAAGAAACAAAAAAAAATTGTGATTATAAAATTGTGCATTAGAATATCATTAATTAAGATACTACATCTTAAAAAAGATATCTGTGTAACAATTATACAAAAGTTTGATAGGTTATCTATTTTTCTCTGTTTTATTCTATAGAAAATTTCAAACATGAAGTCGAGTGTCGAATATAACGATATTCATATCATGTATAAGATACACGTTCCTTTTGCTGTTTTTTTTTTTATAAAGAACTTATATAACATATGTACGTGTAAGCAATAAATAATATTTTAAGCCCGCAATACTAAAGATTTAAATTGCATTTTACAAATACTTTCTTCTTAAATATTATTAAATGTACTTTCATTTTTTAGATTAACTTATTTACTTAAAATATATATGTATATATATATCTACATATGACAATATAGTTATAATCTAATAAAATCTAAAAAAAAAACTCGATTTTATATAATAAACCGAAATTTTAACCTTTTGTTAGAATATAATGGATTATTCCCATTAAAAACGATGGGGTTGAATAAAAATGCTCGGAATGTAAATTTAAAAACAAAAATATTATTGTAATGGCTTTCTTATTACGTCAGACACTATACCGAATATTCGTTATACAATAATATGTGTACGAAATGATTACTCGCAACGATTACGACAATTTAATATTACGTATTTAATTTTTGTGAAATTTTGAGTAATTAACCAAACTGAAATATATCATAATCATATGGAACCAGTAAACTATAATTAATACCTGTTATATACTTCCTTAGCATAAATTGTGTGTATTCTTGAAAAGTGACACGATTGAGAGAAAGATGGATAGAGATAGATAGATAAATAGATAGATAGATAGATGAATAGATAGATAGATAGATAAATAGATAGATAGAGAAGGATTTCTCTGAAATTGCTTGCAATATTTCAGTTACCTCGCCTTTGTTATTGACACTCTTGCTTTGTTGATTCTGATTTTTCAACTGACTGTAAACCAGTTGTAGGATCTAAGTATTTATTCTGATGTATACAACAAATAGAGATAGTTTACGTATCTACAGTAACGATTACGAATGCATCATATTCTATCGTTTAAACACAATATGAAACGTGTTCGATGCAACCGCGTGAATTGCTCTCAGCTCGATGTATTCAGTATGGTTGCGAGGTTACACGGTTCGATCTATCGTTCGTTTTCTCTCGTGTTCGACGTATGAGTAGGATCCCTCTATCGATTTACGTATATTAAAGCAACTTATTCCACGAGATAAATTCCTTTGGAACTTGAATAAATCGAATAAATTGACGCCCGACGTCGTACACACCAGCTATTAGAAATGCATACCTTTAAGCTCTGTTTTCAATGTTCATTGTTTGTCTTTTGTTTGGTGAAGTTACCGGTAAATTCAAGCATAGATCGTATGTATTTTTGTTTCTCGCAGAATTGTTTTCCTCATTCGTTGGAATCGAGTATACCAATATATGCGTGTCACGTAAATGTTATAGAATAGTTCTTTTTAGGTCTCCGCTAAATGAAACGTTAATTCGGTAAAAGACGAAACTGTACTTGAGTTAACTCTTGAACACCAGGGTAAAAAGCAAAAGAGTGGTTTGTGTGCCATGAGAAATGATTCAATTTGTATGGCGTGCTGTAAGCAATGGATATTTAGAGAGGTTTCATAATTATTTAAATACGTTTTGTTGAAATTTTAATAATTTTAAATTTAATTAAATTTAATTAAAACTGCAAACATACAATTTTAGGCATTTATACGTTAAATTAATTATATATGTCATTGTTTGCAATGAAGGAATGGTATGTGCTTCATGTGTATTAGCATGTAGATAGAAAGTGTTTAAAAATAAATCATGTTTTACCAATAGCTTTATTAACGTTAATAATGAAAAGCAATAATATAATAAAATTGATTTTCTTTTGATATTTCAAGAGTTAAAACAAATTGATTTAGTTCAAGCGATGGATAATGAAAAATGCTAGAAATATTCAAATACAGGGTGTATCACAAGAAGCATTACAAGATAGTTTCTCCAAAATGATTAAAAGTAACAAGAAAATTTATTCTGTAGCTTTTGTAGTTTATTAGGGTTTAAGAGCTAAAAAGAGTCAAACGAATCATGCAAAATATGGAATTTTAAGTAAATATCACATTTGATAAAGTCTATTCAAAAATGCGAAAACTGTACATTATTTCATTTAAAGAAATATGTGCAGTACCCTCTTTAACTCACAGCGAGAACTAAATAACCCCAAATCTCGATGAAATTTACAAAAAAAATTTTTTGTTATGTTTAATAATTTTGAAGAAAACAACTTGTAATACTTCATATACATCCTATATATGTATATCATGTACGGAGTATATACAAGAGTTCCATTTTCATTGAAAAAATGCATTATAAGATAAAGCAAAAAAATGTATCAGAAACTTAGTTTTAAATGTACAAATATTTTGGTAATTATTATAATACTTTTATGTATATATCCTATACTTAATGCTATAATTATCCAATAAGCGTATACTCCGTACATGTTTTTGATAAATGGTGATGCACAATGACAACCGAGATATTTAACTTTTCCTCACATGTAATCTTATAATAACATAATATATTAACGTTTCGAATTGATAAATACTCTTAATAAATAATCATTTACATATTTCTTCACGTAATTATAGAAACATAATTTACAAATTAATAACTTGTGCATCACCGTACTTCATCTCTCATTCATATTTTAATTACTTTATATATATAATGTATCTGTCCTTTTTAAACCGGGAGTAGGCGAGTTTAGATAAACCTTTAATATTAAATACGATTAGGTTCCTAGCGTTTAAATGTATTTCCTACATGACAATGTAATTACAGCATTTAGTTCTTTATCTACAAGTTTGTTTATTTTATGTTTGCAATGTTATTCGTTTTCTAACATTATCATCACTGATTTCATATTTTCCATCTTTTCGCGTAAACCCTTTACGTAATAAATTTACTTTTCATAATTTATAAGAAGCTTGCAGCTTTCGTTTTGTACGTTTAATTTAAGATTTAGGCGATTAAATTCTTTTCTATAGTTTAATTTTAGCGAGTTATCAACATCCTACTGTAATTGTCTCCATTTTATTCGAACTGTAATATTGCAGCATTCGCAAATGCATCATGAAAAAGCTAAAGTCGAATCCATGTGATCGTATAAGTTATGCCTACGAGTTAATATCAATATCATGTTTAAAAATGATTTATTGATAAACGTTATACAGTAGAACCTGCATTATTTGGAAATATATTATTCAAACATTTTAATATATTAGTAAATATTTCATCATTGAAGTATTCTATTATGCGAACGATATACTTCCCTCTTTACTTCAGTGTGAAATTGACATACACGTGAATATTTCGCGCGTAATGAACATAACCAATAAACAAAACATTTTAGAAATTAAAAAATGGAAAAATTCATACCGAAATCGTAAAAATATATAACGCTGAAATATATGTAGTATTACAACATATTATTATAAGCGATGTTTACATAATTTTAAAGTAAAAATAATTGAATGCAATCCAACATATTCACACTAAACTACTAAACTAGTCAAAATGATTGATCTGATTTTAGCTGCCTTTCACAAAACCAATATTGGCTTATTTTCATCGCTCTACTTTAATTATCATTTGTGTATAGCAATAAATTCGTATACTGAAAATTCTACTGTATCTCGTTTCGTTATTATAGCACATTCAAAGCCTCATTTAGTACAACGATTAGCTATTTACACCATAGCCTGAAAAGTTGCGTTACCTTGTTCTCTCGGGTTTAACCAAAATACGCCTACTCTCGGTCTGTGAGTTACAATGTCAATCGATTCGAACAGCGAGCCTGATATCATCTGATTTCGTACAATTCTATTTCCATGTAATTCTATTCGCCATGCCAAAGTGAAGACAGTGTTCCAGATGATAGCGAAAAATGAGAATTCATTCGTCTAACAACTTAAGCGTATCACGTTATTATACTGCATTTCCTTTTCAGATCGGAAAAATGTCCCTTTGAGAAACGAGTTCGAGTTTTAAAATGTCATTCATTGCGGTGGACAATTAGACAGCAATGTATATAGCAGACAATTGCACAGCGTTTTGCACTATTATCGTCGTACATATTTCTGCGGGTCACGATCAAAGGAAGCTTTCCATCCTTTTATTGATTAATTCGTCTTATCGCTCTAATAATTAGGTTCGTGATAAGCCAGCGCTGTATTTCGTACATTTATAAAAATTGAAGGAATCAGGCGTGTAATAATCGGTAAACTGTTTCGATGTGTCGGATAGTTACAGGTATACAATGGTACGATTAGCATCATTCGAGTTCCATCTAGCGTGCGTTCAACACATTTTTACAATCTGAAAAAGTGTCGCGAGTTATCCGTATGATGGCTCCATGGATATAAATGCGTCAACGGGATGGAGAAAATTATTTGCCGTGTTACCTACGCGAATCGTACGCGTTATCGATCGTGCAAGGGCACACGCGACGAGGAAGAATCAAGCGCCCCCTTCACTCCGTTCGCACTTGGTTTCATCGATCAAACGCCATGGCTCTGTGCGAAAAGAACGTTTCCCCGTATGGCACGTGAAAAATCTCTCGGTCATCGTTCACGCGAAACGATCGTCTGGTGTCGAGCCTTGACCGATCGATCTGTGCGCGATCAATCGTTAAGGTCGACAACCACCAGAGAGCGCCATCGATGAAAATTGATTCGAACGCTCGTGTTTAGGACGACTCCAATGAGTTAGTAGGGTCAGTATTGCCCTTCGATTCGATCGTCGGGGAAGAATAGATTACGGATGATTAATCAGACACAAATGACAAGGGAATCGGGTCTAGCGGTTGAGTTTTCGTGATCTAGCATTCCTGGTTGAGGTTCTCGTCCGATGTTGGCAGACCGTTCTTGCCGGCGGCGACCGTGCCAGGGGGCACAGGGCTCTGCGGGCACAACACACAGGATTAAGGTGGCCCGTTAACCTCAGTGTTTAGACCTTGCAAGGTCGTGCTAGTCTGGGTCACGATAAACCTTTGAGGCATACGAGGCTTTGGTCTTTGGACGAAAGCGTGATTGCATTCACCGCTGATTCATCATAGATCATGGACTGTACGTACGATGTCGGTCGATATCGTATTAAGGGGGTCGGGTAACGTCTTCCTAACGTAACTATTATGGATAACCCTCATATAACACGTGCTTTGCGAACATGGCTTTTGCATAGCACAGTGCAGATTTTCGTGTTATGAGTGGATTATCTGTAACAGCTTTTGATGGATTACTACGTCTTCGCACGGCTAACGTAAGGTCAAGGACTACCTAATCAACAATCAATTATCAGTGACTCCGACGAAAGAAGAATCTTTTGTATTCATCTTAATTAATAATAATACGTGATAAAAAGCATGATATTTAAAAGCAATTTTCTTAAATTCTTGACCCTATTAATTGGAGTGTTTTGAGGCTTTCTAATGCCGTGAACGTGTTAAAATAATTATTAGACTGCGGATGTTTATGCGCTTGAAATATTTTTAAACGTGCAAGTGAAATATGTGAAATATAATCTACGGCAACGCCGCTATGTAAGGTATGTAAACATATTAAATATATTAAAATTTGTATTGTCAATATGTTGTAATCGTAATTTAAATTGTAATAAACTGTAAATATATTTGTGTATATTAGCTGCAGTTAATCGATAAACTTTATCAGTTAAAATTAATTTATAATTCTAAATATATTTATAGTGCAACATCACGCGTGATGGCGGCATATTTAAATTTACTGCTGCAGCGTTATTTAACTTCTACTGGTTTCTCAGTAATTTTACTTTTCTAAATTTCATTTAATTCGTAATGTATTCGTATATGCACTTCGTTTCGATGTAATTCTTCCCATGATATTTTCAAGTATGCATATTAGGATTTTTACTCAATTACTTAGCAATATGTACACTGCCTGTGAACATTATTATTATTCATATTTTTGTTCGAGAGTTTAATAAATAATATAGAATTTTATAAAGATAAAAATTTTGTCTAGGTCTCATCTTATAAAAATATGTATGTGCATAAACATCCATTATTAACAAATTATATTTAAATAAGTTCTTTGATGTAAAAAAGTACGTATGATATCTATTATTTCTCTAATAAGAAAAGTATTTATTTATTTATTTATCAACTCTTATATTTAAAATATACTAAATGCTATAGTATTTATGTATGTTATTTATCTACTTATTTCTTTTATAATATAAAAATTATAAATTTTAATCTTATACCTTGAAATTTATTATGCATATATCTTTACAAAGGAATAGTAAAAAATATTATTTTTAAATTGTTGTTTACTCGATCCCTTAAAAGATATCGACAAGGTTCTTTTTCATTGCAAAATTTTTGTGTTTCATTTCGATAAGATTTTCATGCAATCACTTTTTATAAAAATAGTGATTATTCATACTGATATAAAAACAATTGAGAATATGCCCCAAAGGGTTAAGCGATCATCAAATTTATTTATTCAACTCTTAAATTATTTATACCTTCTTTATCACTATAATTACAAAATACTTTCTTGTAACAATAATTCTGCGAAATTACCGCGAGCCTAATGAAATATAACTAATAATATAGAAAGATACAGATAAGATAACCTTTCCATTGAAATTACGTGAGAAAATCACTTTGCTTCTCAATTATGCCGCAAAGTACAAATGTGATGTAAAAATTATTATTTAATCACTTTGCATCGTCATTTTCATAAAACTGTTGGGAATGAGAAATAGAAGTTGGAACAAAGAAACTGTCGTAGTCCATTTTGATAATGATTCTTTGTCACAGAGTAGAAAATTATAAATATTGGATAAAAAATTGCAGAGAAGCATGCAACGCGTGTTGTCAAGCTTTTTCGTGACAAATGGTGCAAACAAACGTGACACGACGAATAATCTCGAGAAAAAAGAAAGAAAGATATCAAATTTGGAAATATAAAACCAAGAAAATTTTTTTAAAAAAAATTTTTGATGATTTTTGATGATTTCGATCATTTGAATCTCTATTTATGAATATTATATTTCATTCAAAAATAACGTAAAACATAATCGATTCTCGAGATTTCTAATGATGGAACATACCTGTGATCCACTGCCACAGAGGCTCTCTACATTTGAACCAGTTTGTCGAAGATATTCCCTGTCGTTGAAAATTTTCTTATCACCACCACCTGGCTTATGCTTCACATTATCCAAGGAACCAATTTTACTCTCAGCCTTAATGTCCAACTTTTGCGTTTGGATCTGAAAGTAACATTGAAACATTTATTATTGTCTAGTATTCACCATAAGAAAATGTAAGTAGATGGACAGTGTAGAAATATCATGATGAGAATTTTAGTTATTTTATTTATCAATTTTATTTTATGTATAGATAGCTTGTTAGTAGCTAAAGCTTATTATACTGTTATGTTGCAGCTGTACAACTATGGAGCTTTGGGAGATTTACTGTAATAAGAGTAATTTGGAAATCGTGGTACAGATTGGAAGTGAACCAACTCTTTTGGAAATAGAACCCTTACTTTGGAAACATGTGCAAATTGATCTCATGAAGCTACTTAATTGGTAGATTAGCAGTATCACATGGAGTGTGAACATAATTTCTTAAATTTCTTAAAGTGTGGAAAATGAGAGACTTGGAGGAATGATAAAGAGGTTCTGGGAATGATTTCAAATGTTCAACTGAGTTTTTTTGGATGCGAATGATAGAAATGTTGGAGATATGATGAAAATATTCTGGAAATGATTTCAAATCTTTGGCGAGCTCTTAGGACTTAAATGATAAGAATACTTTAAGAATACTTCAGGACAAGAGCACTTTAGAGATATGTTAAAGAACCTTCTCATATGTGCTTTATAACAGTACAAAAAGATTGACTAAGATACTGTGTTGATTTACAAATTTATTTTTAATTCAGGTACAAGTTTCTTCTTGTAGTGCTTTCTAATCTAAAGATTTGACTTTCATGTTAGACATTTATACTAATCTTAAAACATGCAAGAACATGCTTTAATCTCTTCAAACTTATTCACGTATTCACTTACTGCTAAAAAGAGGAAGAAAGAATATTTAAGTTCGAATGAACTTAATTTAACTTGCTTCATATTATTGATAATCGATAAAAGCGATAAATATTAGTTTAAACAAACAAAAGGACAGTCACGATGTTAACTGAATCAATCAGTTACTCCCTTTATAATTTTGCGATTTTTTGATCCAGATTATGTTGTGGGTTTTGGTTTCGATAATGAGTAGCTAGGCTAGTTCCTGAGAGGATAACTAGGATTATCGAGTCGTGAAATTATTTGATATACTTACGTCGTTGTTTGTATCCTGTGGCGTCTTAGGTGGTGTTGCCGATGACTGAATACCAACAAACAATAATGACTTGTTAATAATGATGGGTGACAATACATGCAACAACAAAGGGCAGTTGTACACTAGAGCAGAGGGTTGTATGTCTTTGTTTCCAGTCAGGGAGATCCGCAAGTGGTCCACATTTGAAAAAAATACTTTGTTATATACTCAAGATTTCTTTGCATCAAGCAAAAAGACGAATTGACAGAGAAATGGCATTAAGTATATTTGATAATTATTTTAGTTAATCATTATAGGCACAGGTAATTCTGATTTTTCATATAAGTTTTCTTTTTTGAAAACAATGTTACTGTTATATATAGTTTGTCAAAGAATAAGGTTCTAACAGTTTAAGGGCTTACAGTATTTGTTTGTAAAATAAATTATTGTAAAATAAATTGTATTTAATTATAACTTAAGTCTTTCTCTTTAGCAGCACAATAAATATAAATAAAGATTATCACTGTATAGAAAAAATTATAGAGAGATACAAAATTTTCTTTTTTCTTTTTCAAAAGAAATTGTAAATGTGTAAATTAAGTTCACTGAGCATTTTAATAAAGAGATATAAAATTAATATCTTACACTGAAAATATTGTTTTGGGAATTTATGTTAATGTAATCTTTTCCTTAATCCTTGGTAAGTACTATAAGACCTTAAAAATTGGAGTCTTCTTGTTTATCACCCTGTATATTTATGAAAGAAAAAATTTGGAATAATAGTTGTAAGTATTGCTAGATCCAGAGGGAAAAACTATTTGTTTTACACATATTTTGTAAAATATAATCATTTTTCTTGATGCTAGAATTCTTGTTTTCTGCAAATTTCGAAAACACTAATTTTTGTAATAATATCGAGTTTTCGATGTAAATGCAAGTCTATATTAACATTCTACATGCAACGACTTATTTAAAATTGAAATAAATAATTGTCCATTTGGTCGAACTATCATTCTCGTGGCGTATGAACGAAATGAGCATTATGTTACTATTCCACCACGAACACGATACATGTTGAATGAAAAAGCAAGCATTTAGTTAGAAAAATGATTTATTACTACAGTAATAACAAACACTACAAACGGGTAACAGATCAAGCGAAAATATAATGGACCACATGATAACAAATGACTCGAAAATTTGGGAAAGCACATTTAAAATTGCAAATACATCTCTTTTTGTAATAGTTTTCATTAACTTTTAGTTAAAAGTTTTAAAAAAACAAACACATGAATAAAAATATTAATAAATTTCATTTATATTGTTTCCTAATTTATATAAAAATATAGTCAATGTAATATATTAAATTGTATATTAAAATAATTTTTTTTTAAATTTCATTGTATTTGAATTTTCTTATTTGACTCAATATAAATGGCTCGTTATATAGATTATTTTATTAGCAATTATATCGAACACTTTGCACATGAAATTGTATAATATAAACGAACTTATATATATTTTTTAAATAAATTATGAATTATTAAATAAATTGGAATAAGAACTGTTTTGCTATTATTATGAATTAAATAGATAATTAATGTGGCATAAAACTATGAATCAAATTACAAGATCACTAAGGTAATTTTCAAACGCAGATAAAAGGTTCATTGAACTTATCTATGCTTCTAAAAGTATCCAGCATTCCTATGAAGGCATATTTCAAAGTGAAACTCTTACTTTAACGCCACCACCGCCGGGAATGTGTTTAGCATTATCCTTAGAGCCAACTTTTGGTTTCGCTTTGTCCTTGAAGTCAAGCTTCACTGTCTCTATTTTCTTGTCACCACCACCAGGCTTGTACGTTGCGTTTTCTAGTGATCCGACTTTCGGTTTGGCATTCCATTGGAGCTTAACTTGAGCGATCTGTAAGATATTTTTGAAAGATAATTTTTAAACGACGAGATCAAAATTTAAAATTGGCTACTTAACCAGTGGTAATTGAACGCATTTGAAGTTTTGTGCCACAGATGGCGCCACATACATATGGAAAGGGACAAACACATGGACAGTAAGGATATGCAAGATCTTCTGCACTATTCACTGTTTTAGAAGAAAAATTTTAAAGGATTCTAAAAGTAAAGTTCATTATTATGACTTATGAGTGGTTCAATTATATTATCAAACATGTGGTCACACATTATACACCACATTAGTATATGTTTCAGGATATTTGCCAGAACAACTGGTACTATGACATATTAAGTGTCTCACAAAATGGAATACTACTCAGCAGAGTGTAATTTAGTATAAAGGAAGAAATTGAGAAATATTCATATATAAAATAGGCAAGAGAAATATTTTATGTTACATAATACCATTTATCTAATCAAATATTAATTTAACAATTGTATGTAATTGAATAATCTCTTTCTACATGGTCTATGCTGAGTCTTATCTGTGACCATTATAATATCAGTTCAAATAAAGGAAAAGAATGAATTCATTGCAAACACAGAAAAGAAATGATTGATTGTCTGAAGTACTATAAGTTATAACAATAAGTGAACTCATTTATAAATGTCTTTTCCATAATTGTGATTAAATGACAAGGAATGTTGGTAAGAAAGATGAAATAATGTTGAACTTTTTAATTTTTTAAATTAAAAAGTAAACCTTTTTATCGCCACCACTGGGTGTGTATTTCTCATTTTTCGCAGCGATCTTCGGCTGTGCCTTGCTGAAGTCAAGCTTCCTGTTCTCTATTTTCACTTTCCCACCACCTGGCTTGTAACTTGCGTTTTCCAACGAGCCAATTTTCGACCGAACTGTCTTCAGGTTTGGAGATGGCGCTGATCCCACTTGAATTTTGTTCATAGGCAGTTCTGTGTGATTTAATAGCAATTATAAATACATGCTTTTACAAGGATGGTTAAATAGTATCGTCAAACGATAGTTCTTTATTATTACAAAAAATTCGTATTATTTTTCATAGCGTAAAATAATAGCCGAATTTATATTTTTAAAGTTTAAGAACTCGGACAAGAAATGATATTGTATTTATTAAATTTATATATAATAATTTCATTTGAATTAGAAAAAATTATTTTGAATCATTGATTTGTAGAAATAATAAGTAATAAAATGATAAAGAGTCGCATTCAAATGGATACGGTGATTATAAATTATGATGGATGTACAGAATGTTCTTCAGATGATAGATACACGTAGATACACATAGAAACTAGTAATTTGCTTATGGATGATTATCATCTTCGCAATTCATTTTTCCTTGTATTCTAATTTTATCTGATAATTTGCCTTGAGCAATAAAGTCACGTTTATATTAAATTTTATTTAGAAAAGTATGAAATATTCTATAATAACAATTATGTAAAAATATTTAGTCTTCGTAAGCGATATATTCATAATCTTTCATTCTCTTACCTTATATTCGTATAAATGTTTGTTGTTATCCGATTATCAAATAAATTCGAATAATAGCTTATTATACGAATAGGACAGGTAACGAAATAAGTTTATGTAAATACTAATATAAACAACACTTTACTTGCATAAAATTAACTTGCAATTAAACCAAATTAATGCAAATCGATACAGAAATTAGCAGGGAGATATTTATATCATTTAGCAATTATACTAAAAAACAAATACGAATTATTTCAACGATGTATGACTAATTTGGACAAGATAATAAGAAATTAAAGTACGAACAAAGAAGATATCTACGATCTAATAAGTACTCATTACAATTTCAAATTCGTTGTATCGCATAAAATGTTGAAAAATGGTTGAAAATATACTCACAATCAGTGTTACGTAGGTCGAACTATATTTTCCAGACTTTTTTATCTACAAACTTCAATTTAAAGAACTCAAAGTCACAAAGCTTACAAAGTCAAAGTCACTGTCCCGTGTGATCGCTAACCCTCAATTTTCTCATATTCTCCAGACCTCTCTGAAGAAGCTCGTAAAAGCCAAAAACTTTCAAAGTCCGATTTTTCCTTCGGATAAATTGTTTACTAAATAAATTATCTACAGATTTCTTTCACATGAAAATTACACAAAGAAAAGCTTGATTTCTTATATGAGATTAAAATAAAAATGCTCGATACGAAGCAAGTGAAGCTTCTTAGCGATAAATTTGCAAAGAAATTAATTCGAATGTAAAATAAAGTCGAGATGAATTTGTATAAAAATTTCAATGCTACTTACTCTTCTTCTCCTGGCCGGCTGTCGACGAGGGAGTTTCTGGAGTTCGTGGCAACGATTTGACGGACTTACTTGGCGATTTCACGGGTGATCCGGCTGTCGACCTTTTGTCGGCTTCCTTTGATTTAGAGGATGACTTCTTCGTTGGTGAGTCTCCAACGCCATTCGTGGTTGGTTCCTGCGAAAATTACCCATTTATCTCGTCATATTGCCAACTCCACGATTTACAAAAATACGTAAGAACATACAGGGTGTGCCAACAACGATAGTACAATCGAGGATGGGGTGATTCTACATGAAAAATTAAATCGAAAATGAAGAATAAAATTTTTTCGTTCGAAGCTTCGTTATCGAGAAAATCGGCTTTGAATATTCAGCGGATGCGCGTGTGCTTATGGCGCGCAGCTATAACAATGGCGGATGGATCGTCAGTATACGAGCATACGCAGTAAATATTCGAGGCCGATTTTCTCGACAACGAAGCTTCGAATGAAAAAATTTTATTCTTTATTTTCGATTTAATTTTTCACGTAGAATCACCTAATTGTATTATCGTTGCTAGATATAGGGCACCCTGTGTACATAAAATGAGGAGACTCACCGCATTGGATTGAACCGATTCATTCGTTACACTGCCATTTTCGACCTCTGCAAATACAAAAACAGAAACGACATGACTTCCTCGTTACATTTAAGCAAGCATCAAAGTATTAAATTGCAGCAGTCGTGAAGCAAAATCTCAGTAAAATCTTCGAATTTAAATAGAAAGTGAAATATTATATTCCACTGTTTTAATTTTTCAAATCTATTTTGAACTTAAGAATATAATATCATTATATCTTTTTAATACATTCACTTTCACCGTTTTCATCAAAATTTGTTTTAACACCAGAACTACTCCTGTTATTAGAACTATTCTAATGAACTGAAAATAATTCAGTATATACAGGGTGAGTCATGTGAACATTCGGTAGTATAATCCATTTTATTTTTGCTTTCTTTTCTTTTTATGGAGATTAATAACATTTTTTTAAATGTAATGTCCAGATTTTCTTCCCAAATTTTGGATGAAAAATATAATACTAAGTAGATTCTAAAACTGATAATAATAAAAGTAATAAATAATAAAAACTGAGATATTCTCAAATAAATTATTCTGTATCTAACGAAATTATCACAACGACAAAAAGACAAATAACACAAAACCAATTATACCACCGAATATCTTCTTCCAAATTCTCTGACCTCTATTCTAAACATTTTTTCAACGCAGTAAATATTTGATTCATTTTATCATATTACTTCGGATCGTCACTTTTCATGACTGACCATGTATAATTATCAATTCATCCCAACAAAAGCCAAAATTAATTTTTCCAAAATCGATATTTTCAACTGCGCGATTCCAGCAATCTGAAAAGCAACAGATCTGGAATCAATCGACTCGGTAGTTCCAATGTTAATCGTAAATAAGAACCTGGAATCGTCGAAGTCTTCTTTCCTGACTTCTCATCCGACTTAATCGCAGTGGTTGCACGCTGAGCTTTAGTCGTAGCCGATTTGGACGAAGTTTTCGTCTCTGGCACCATTTTCTCATCTTTCTTCTGCTCAGTTTTCTGGATTTCCTCCTCTTTCTTGTCTTCCACAGGTGATTTCGGTGACTTGGGAGACTTTGGAGACTTGGGAGACTTGGGAGACTTGGGAGACTTGGGAGATTTTGGAGACTTGGGAGACTTGGGAGACTTAGGAGATTTTGGAGACTTTGGAGACTTGGGCGATTTTGGCGAAACAGGCGAGTGGAGATCCTGAGCTGGTGGAGACTTGATCGACAACGATCTTTGTTGCCCATTGTCGAAACCTTTCACACCCTCTTCTGGAGACTTTGGAGGAGATAGAACCGTTTCCACGACCTTGCCTTCATCCTTCGATGCTGATGACTCTTGAGTCTTGCCTGCTTCCTTCTCAGAAGCAGGTGGACTCGCGGTGGTTCGCGAAGGGTCTTGCGTGAGATCAGGTGCTTCCGAGACATTGGTACTAGATTCTTCGTTGGAATCCGATTTCTTCGGAGACTTGGAAGACGGATCGCTCAACTCTTTCTCCTTGAGAGAATGACTAGGATCCGATGGCTTTTCTTTCTCCTCTGACTTCTCTGGAGACTTGGACACTTCACTGGGTTCTGTCTTGCTCTTGTCTTCGCTTGTCTCTGTGGTCGTTTGCGGCTTATCTAACTCCTTAGATGGCTTTAATTCTGCTTCCTTTGTGTCTTCTTTCATCTCCTTTGTGGAACTGTCTGGTTTTGTTTCTGACACAGACAGTGGTTTAGACTCCTCTTTCTCCTGGGTCTGTTTACTTTCATTTTTAGGCTCACCTACTTCTGCTGGCGTGGATTCTTGCTTCGCGTGGGGATCCTCCTCTGGCGTGGACGGTGGGGTCTTTGACGTTTCGCTTTTCTCTTTCGTCGTGTCAGTCTTAGCGTTATCTAATTTTTCTGGGGACTGGGCTTCTGGCGCGGGTTCTTTCTTAGTTTGACTAGGTTCTACAGGTGCGTGGCTTTTTTCTGGAGACTTGGACGTTTTCTGATCCTCCTGCGTTTTATCCTGACTCGTCTTCTCAGGACATGTCTCTTCAAATTTCTCTGGAGACTTCTCTGCAGATTTTTCTATTGCATTCTTTGCAGATTTTTCTATTGCATTCTCTGCAGATTTTTCTGCTGCTTTCTCTGGAGACTTCTCTGCAGACTTTTCTGCCGGTTTCTCCGGAGATTTAGGCTGGGCCTGTACTCGTTGGCCATTGTCTTCGCCTAATTTTGTCGGCGTGGTCGTACTTGGCTTCTCCGGAGACGTTGACGTCGCGTTTGAAGTCTGTTCCTTCTGTTCAGACTCTGCTTGCACCTTGGTAGCTAGTTCAGGTGCAGTAGCTACACTGGCGTCACCTGGTTTCGTGGCTTTCTCTTCTTTGGCAGCTGGAGTGACCGAAGAATTCGTGTCTGGCTTTGTCGGTGCTTTTGCTTCATCCTCTTTCTTCGGGTTCTCCTTCTGAGTTTGATCCTCCAGCAGCTTCTTCTCTGGCTCCTCCAACTGCTTGCCTTTGTCCACTTCCTTACGAGTCTCTTCATCTGCCTTCAAGGTGGACAACCTGTTATCGCTCTCTGTCACTTTGGAGTCTTTAACAGGCTTATCACTCAGGTTCCCAGCAACGTCGTTGATCTTCTGACCTAGCTTGTCCATAGTCGCATCAGGCTTGACATCGATCTTCCCGTTTATAGTAGCTGTCTCTGGTCTCTTCGCGTCGTTCTTCAACTTGGACTCGATGAAACTCTGCTGACTGGTGAGGTCTCCGTTGGTCCTTGACGATTTTTGATCCATCACGACGTCATCGTCGTCGTCGTTCTCGGTGTTCTCCCGTAACTCGGACTTCTCCTTCGAGACCGCGTTCTCGAACTGCTGAAGCTTCTTCGAGCTGTCGACGTCCGCCATCTTGTCGACTACTATGCGCGGTAGCGTTGGCTTCTTGTCTTCCCTCTTCGACTGCGAGCTCTGTTGCGCTATGTTTAACAACGATTCATTGCGTTGCAACTGCCTCTGTTGCACGATTTCGTGCGACCGTGATAGAACCTCGGGATTACGCGACAGCTGGTACGCGTTTGGGTGATCCGGTCTTGGCTGCGGAGGCCGTTGCACGTTGCCCGGTGGCCTCTGCGTTGGATAGCTTCCAGGATGCGACTGTCTGGGTCCGAGTTGAGGACCGGGACGTTGGACAGGCGATTGTGGAAAACGTGGATTCAAAATGATAGGCGGATGTTGACCCTGTTGCGGTGGTTTCTGAGGAAACGTACCGCCGGGTGGTCTCGGAGGGCCGTAGGGTCGGAGCTGCACGTACTGGCCGGGATTGTTAGGCCCGAATGGTGGTCGATTATCGAAACGGATTTGCTGCTGTGGTCCTCCTGCTCGTGGCTGTCCTATGGGACCATTATTTACCGGGTGTCTTGGTAATCCAGGTGGACCTTGCGGTCTCGCCCGATACACAGATGGTAATGGCGGGTTTGATTTCACCTACGGAATAATTTATTTTACTCGCGGAAATTCGCGGTCGATGGGAATTACCGTGTGGAATTTTGTGCTGGGGGTTGATATAAAATGGGGGTCGAATGGGGGACGTTTAATAAGCGAGTTCTTTCATTCGGTGTTGGGATTTGTTTGGATCAAGTCATTTGACTGTTAATACGTTAACCGTTTGAGTCTCAGGGGGTTTTGAAACAACACTGTCGAGGTATCCCAAGCAGCGCGATAGCGCTTCGTTTATATTATGGCGATGAATGACCAAGTGGCATGATAGCGCTTCGACAGTCGGTGACGCACCGTCAGCTGTCGAGAACGCTCGAAATGTGCTGGGTTTTTTCGACATGAAATCTGAACAGCGCAATCGCGCTGCTTGGGACACAAACGGTTAAACGTCATGCCGGTTTTACGTGCCGATCCGTATTAGCCCTCATGCGGGCCCTTCCGGGCCGTACAGTCCGGCGAGGCCTGAACGGAAAGCCTAGCGTCCCTAGGGTCCCTAGGAACCCGCGTGGTGTTTAACGTGTTAATTACTTTCAGTTTTGTTTTCGTTAATTTTTATTTAACTTCGTTATCTCTTTCCAGTTTCTACTTCACTCGATTTATGCGTATTTATATACTTATATTGAGGTTTAAGTGTAGATGGAGATATTACTATCACGTTTGTTCCTCTTTTCCGAAATTGTAATTAAGACTCACATGGTTCCCAATAATTTCTGAATTAAAATTTTAACAAACTTATTCTTTTGTCCCATTATTACTAATTTTCCCATTCTCAGTCATTTCTGGGCCCCCAATAGAAGCCTACGTCATTCCAAACAATTTCTCAATTGAAATCCTACCATAATCCTACTTTGCATTTCGTTATGAGCAATTAATCTTCCTATTTCCAATAATATAATAATATATTATTTATATAAAAATATAAATATTCGTACAATACACTTCACGATTGCAATAACACCATTATAGTCGCATCTATTCTATCCTACATCGTTCCAAATAATTTTCCAATGGAAATGTTCGCAATGCAATTTTTCGCGTTATTGTTAATTAATTTTCTTATTCCCGATAATTTCCGATAGAGACGTTCGTAATAGGCTGCGATATATTCGATGAGGAGGGTACGAACGGAAAGTCGTACCCTGCATGGGAAATTTGGGTAGTCGATATTGGCCCTGAGCCCATCGATCAGCCTATAATGCAAACCGGTGACGTTTCGAAGATTCGTATTTACCGTGCCTGCCACCGTTCGACTTTCTTCACTCGTTATGGGATTAAACCACGAATGATTATAGTATACCATCGACATCCATCGCGATTCAGGTATTTCAGGCTGGCGTGACCTACAGCAGTAGCCTCCCCTCAGAACTCTCGGCTGTTTACCCTCGTTTATTCCCGGTATTCATCGGTGAAAACATTCGAAAGGCTTGTTGAGACCGTTTGCACGAGTGTGTTGCAAGCACGAGACTTTTGGAATGACGCAACGTGGCAGACACTTCCGTCGAGTGATACGCCATCTTGGATCCCTTCTCAGTGCGACGCGTAAGTACTCTTATCAAGTTTGGAGGTTAGAAATGTAATCTCGCGAAAATTGCAATGGACATCTTTCTTGTTCCATGATTATTATTTGTTATGGTATTTCGTGAAGGTCGTTTGGCGAGGATGTATTGACACGTATGCGTTAGAAAGGTCAAAGTGGCTTCTCATTCATGGGTTGCTTTTTGGGTGTCCTGAAAAGGCTCGTGCGTTTTGTAAAAGTGCTTTCATGAGAATATTCCAATATTCATATTACTGGTACTCCATTTGACTTATACGTAAATTCAAGCAAAGTGTACAGTATTATAAATAACACTATTCGTCATTAAATTACTCGTCAAATATTATGTTATTCATAAAATCCCTTAAAATTTGAATAAAATAGGACCACTAATAAAATATCATTGACAATACCCATATCTCAGATAATATTAGGTAATAAAGAAAAATACACGTAACTATATTCAAACAATATATTACTTAAAACATCTTGATAATTTCTCAGATCATCCAAGTCAGACCTTTTTCTTAGATTTCCCTGGTCAATTGTTTAGGAATTCATAAAATAATTCAGCAACCCCAAGAAAAAATATTGGTAAAAATTTTTCATGGTAAAATTTAATTTTACATTTTTTTATTTAATTTCTTAATCGGTAAAATTCACGAAAATAAAAGTCATCGACCAGAGGATGTACTTGGTCAATTGTTTAGGAACTCATAAAATAATTCAGCAGCGCCAAGAAAAATATTGCAAAAATTTTTCATGATAAAATTTAATTTCACGTTCTTTTTGTTTTTTAATTTTTTAATCGGTAAAATTGGCAAAAATGAAAATCGTCGACGGGATGACGTACTTCGAAGGTGCTTCAACATCTTTCGTGATATGCTGGCTTACCACAGTCGGCTCGCGGTCCGAAGGAGATTCGGCCGCGTTTCTTGGGGTCCCCTGCGAGTCCATTCTCACTTGGTTCATAAGCGATTAACGTTTACGACGATCGGCCGATCTCGTCACCTCTCGCGAGATATTTCTCCATAAACCTGCGTACCAACGGCGGTCATTTTCCATGAAAGAGGACACAAAACTCTACGCAAGTGCTGATACCCTTGGTCTACGTTGTGTCTAATGAAACGCATTGAATGAAAGACGCTACTCTTGATGCGTGAATCATCGCATTTGAATGCGTACGATGACTGAAGAAGCTTGTTTCATAGAATCATTTATCAGTGTGCTACTTCGGTGGTATTAATAATTAGCTTCGTTCGGCATTCTTCCAAAACTGTGGAAGCCTCGCTCGAAATTCGAGCGTGTAAACATGGCTGGAAATTTGAATCAGGTACATTTCGAAGTTTATGCAGTTGCATACAATAATCACGATTGCTATACTATCCTCTTTCTTTCTCTTTTCCATGAGATAAATCTCAGGATTTTATTTTGAATTTTGACATACTTGCAATTATGATAGAATCACGTATAGGAGAGTTAATTAGTATTACTATAGAAGATCTCAAATAATTTTTGCAAATTTTGCGAATCACTACTTAACAGTGTTTATTTAATTATTAATAATTATTTATTAAATTAAGACTTTTGTAATATGTGAATAATCTCAATGGAAAATTATATAAAAATTGTGTTACATTTTTATTTCAGGATTACCAGGATTTTTTAGTAATCCTGGAAAATATTCTATTTTCCGCACAGAAAATAGAGGATAATTTTTCCAATTATTTTGGAAGATTTTGGAAAGATGCCCGAATATTTGACGCGTTCATGTAAGACGTAAACATCTAAGTATAGTAAATACAGTTCCTATGCATGTGGCAGCGTGTTGAAAGATCGAGTAGTTGAAAGTTCAAACTACCAGTTCCTGTGAATAATTCAACAATTAAGGGTGCAATTTGCCTGATTGTTATTTCTACCTGTTTTGATACTTACGGTGCGTGCAACAGCTTGTACTGTTCAATTAGGAATTATAACGCTATATACCGTGCCTAAAAATACAGCTATTTGCTAAGTAACGTGATCATAGCATTGTACTTGGAGACGATTTATTTTTAGTGTAAATTTTTAGTGCCACTATTATTACTGTGAATTTCAACGTGCTAGATGATCTCGATTTTTTGATTCCTTGTTTACAATTCCTGGTAATAGAGAAAATAATGGTTATAGTGATACTCTTAACTGGGTGATAGAAACATAGTTATTATAATTATTGTCTTACATTTTTTTAACAAATATTCGAATTTTCTATATTCCAAAAATATTACAAAAATATTTTACAACGGAAATATTTAATTAGAAATACACGATTATTTTTAAATACAACTAAAATAACTAAAAAAGAAATTATGGTTGTATTTCAAAATAATTGTGTATTTCTGATTAAATATTTTTGTAATATTTTTTTAATATAAAAAAATTCGAATATTTGCAAAAATTCTTCTTTCCATTCCTTCTGCACTTCCATTATTATCACAAACACTATACTCCGTATTTTATATTTAATAATAGACTACTAGATTCATCATTTAATAAATATTCGATTTTATTATAACATTCTATCTTATCATACTATAATTTCTATCCTATTTCAATGGGAAGATTACCAAGATTATTTTTGACAACATAAAAAATTCTCAAAACGTAAGAAACAGAATACCAAAATCATTAATTAAAAATAGTACAAAAATGATCACTCGAGTGATTATATTATGCCTGATTTAGTAATTTTTATAATTAATTTTCTTTCATATAAAATGTCTAAAAATTGTTATTTTTCTTCTTACTCTTCTTCTGTATAGAAAATTATTTTTATACATTTGTTTGTATATATTAGCGTATATTAAGTTAATTAATTAAGTCGTTAGTTACAGGAAAGGAAAGTTTTTTCAACGTTGGAATGTAATCAAGTGTTTCAGGCGTGAAAGGCTCGTTGGCGAGGAACAGAAAAAGAAAAAAGGGAAAAAAGAACGAGAGAAGAAAGACGGTGAAAAGTTTTTAGGGATATAGAGGATGAAACGCACGCAACCATTCCGACTGTAGACACAGGAGGATCACATTTCTACGTATACCAGTGGCAATGGCTAACCTTGGTAAATATATTTCCGTAGGTATCACGAAACCATGACTGCTTCGTGCGAAGGACTAATAATTGAAGTAACGCATTTCTGATTTAACTGATTACGACATTAGCATACTTTCTTTAAGAAAATACGTCTTACACGCGAGCACGTTTTATTCCTTTATAACTCCATTACACCTACCAATCTATTAAATATCAATTTTTTATGTATACTGTAATTTAAAGATTAATTTGTATTTTTAATTATTAATTTGTATTTTTAATTATTAATCACTTCTTTTTGCGAATTTTCAATTTTCAATTTGAGATAAATGAATGGATATACGAGTACGAGGGTAATAAATTATATTAATGTTAATATAGAAACATATG